TATTGTTCAAATTCCCCCCTACCCGGGTCAAAATGCCGTTTAAATGCCCCACACTAGGGTCCATTCAGGTGATCAAATGCCCCCACCCCGGGGACATTTCACAGGCACAAAAATGACAGAAGGACGGCGGAAACGCCTTCAGTTGTTGAACAAAATCTTTGTAAATATAACAAAAACTGACAAACACTGTTAGCGTATTTACTACGAACCAAAGTCTCCTGCAATGCGGCGGAAATCGTTGCTACACTGGGTCACTGAATGCTCAGCTTTTCTTCGTCATGCAAGATACAAAGCGTTCTATAAAAAAATCCCACCTATTGAGATTATTACATCATGACCATTTCACTGACATGCATCACCGCTCACCTTATTAATTAACATACTTGCAGTAGGTCAAAGTAGTTGACCTGAGCTTCTCATTTTATTTTATTTTATTTGATGTTGTTGTATTGAATCGCCGGTATAGGTATTGTATTTCATTGTAAACACAACAATATAATACATTCGTAACCGTTCCTCGCAACCAATTGGCCACAAAGGCACAATCTTTTCCACGAAAATCCTCTAACACCGCGTCCCCCATGATAGCTCACCAGGCCAAAGATTTCACATGAAATCGAGGGTGCAGTTCAAATTCCTCACCCCTAAAGCATGGGGATCAAATTCCCCACCCCCTGGAAGACTCTGATAATCAAATTCCCTCCTCCCCGGGACGGCAAAGGTGTCAAATGCCCGGGGTATGCCCGGGGGGGGGGCATGTTGAAGCTTCGATTTGACCGATACATTACTTCTTGGTTCATGTATCAGTTTTGCCCAATGGGTGAACGGCGTACGTGCCACAAAAGCATGCAGTTTTTTCTTTGCTTCTTTTGACGACGCAAAAATGCTGTCAATCCTCGGGGTGGCGCTAAAATTTCAAAAGCCAGATGTTCGTAATTGTCCTTTTTATTCGTTTCTTTTTTTCGGGAGAACCTCTTTCTTTAACTTTGGAGCGGTTCTTCATTAATTAACAGTTGCTAGTTGTGCAGTTGTATAATATCGCCTTCTACGCTTCCAGTAACTTTTCTAATGGTCCATCCCTCAGATTTATTTACCACCCAACCTTTTACAATACGTGGCCTATGTTGTCACTTTTCGCAGTCATGGCAGACTTAAAATGAACACCTCAGTTTTATTAATCCTCAGTTAAGTACGCCAGAGGCAATCGTGGTGATTTTTTTTTATTCAAGAGTGTTTCACGTACCTCTAAATCTTAACATATTCAATCAAAAGCACATTATTGTCTGTGACTTACGCCCGTTCAAAAGAACAGTTCATGAGTCTTTTAAGTTAGACCTTTTCGATAATTTTCACTACTAAAAATACACTGAAAGTCATGACACATTTATTCACGCGTGTTCTACAAACCTCTAACTCTTAACATCTTCAACCAAAAGCACATTTTGCGATCTACGCCTGTGCAGAAGAACATTTTATAAGTCTTTTAAGAGCTTGTCGGTAATTACTGCTAAAAATGAAACAGATAATCGGGTTGATAGCATAGTATGCGTTAGACATATCAGCGGTGACAGTGAAGTATAGCCAGAAACTACACGACAAATGCGTGGACCTGTCCTTATAGGCTATGATTAAAACGTTGATAGAGAATGGTAACCAGCAAAATACAAACACTGTTATGAATAGCGGAATATCCTGTCATCATCAACGCCTAATAAATGATGCGGATGATTTGTCGCGTATTTTTTTAATTTTGTCTGAGACGGGACTATCTTCAAAGGCGCCGCCGACTAAGTTTTCCCCCTGGCAAAAACTAGGCAAAAAATTAAATCGATTAAATATACTAAAATGCGTTTTCTTGTCAATTATTGTAAAGCCATGATTCTTTCCATTAACAAATGCAAGTGTTGTTAGTTGTAACCGGTCCAATAAGAGTTAAAAAATATCACCCACTGCTAATGCAGAGACAGTTAAATACAGGAAGCTGGGGCGTAGCTGGCTTTAAGCCATAAAAGCTCAGGCTAAACAGGATATTTGAGGCAAAACTATAAATGCACGTTATCACGTGTGCATAAAACATGCAGTTTTTGTGCATTTACTTCTCAATCGAACTTAAAATAGCAGGTTATAAAACAAACGTTCTTCCTTAAACAAAAAAGACCAGGCGTATGTGTTCCTTCTGTCAGTCTTTGGCTGCTTTTAATTGTTACAACCCTCAGTATTTGGTGACGACATTTCTTGTCTCTCGATAATGTTGTGGCATTTTATCTTAAGAATGACCTGAAAACCCACAAGCGTAACTCATATCAATGCAACCAATAGCCGTCATGACGCGCTGCGCCCGTCCTAAAAGCGTGATAAAACGTTGATAGACGCCTTGTTCTCATATACAGCCGGTTTAACATCAAGGTCAAACGATTTCTACTACAGAACTTTCGCACCCTATTATGATCAACGGATGAGCAAACTCGATGTGTCCTTCTTCATGCAACCACCTTTTGTGGCTTACAAGCGCGACGTCAGTTAGTCGGTTCCACAGATGACGCGTCTTTTGAGCAGCCTTGTTCCCGCGCGTGTCAGCGTCCTCGATGCAACACCTACAATTACATCAGTTCTGTTGCTGTTACGCGGCACTAAGTCGTTTTTCCAGCCGTGACCATTCCTAATTCTTTACTTGGTTAAACTGAACTGTACCTGCAGTCTCTCAGATATTGGGGAAAGGCACGCGAACTGTTGACGGGGCGGAAAAAAGGAAAAAGAAACCGCCGCCCCTGCTATACTACATATTTTTCCGGTGGATAGCGCTATCCACCAGAAAAGTGAGTAGTAGGAAGCTGAGCAGATTAATGAAGCTGAAGCAGATTAAAGCTCAGCTTTCAAGCTGAGCAGATTAATGCATATCGTAAAGCCATTTTGGTTGTATTTAGAAATCGATCAGTTAAAAGACATTTGGAGACCATATATATGAGTGGAAACTTTAAACTGTTTTCGTTAATATTTCTTTTTATTTTTCAGTTCATTTCCCCCTTGCATGAATATTTATTTTGTAGTTCACTCATCCCCTCCCCCATAACGTTTCTAATGATCCATCTCACCCTGCGAGCAGAATCTCCTAATTTGTTGAGTGACGCCAAGTGATCAAGCGGCGAGCGAATGAACAGCGCTGCTGCTGAGAGGGTGCATGGTCAATCCCTGAGTTTTATTCAGTGGCGGATCCAAGGGAGGGGCCCGGGGGGCTCGGGCCTCCCATTATTTTTAGACCAAACCGAAACCCGAAGGGCCGAAAAAAAATTTTTTGGAGACCGCCCCCATCTAAGGGTCTGGATGACCTGGAACCCCTCCCCTTATCTCAAAGTCTGGATCTGGCACTGTTATTTACTACCAAAACTGTTACAATACGTCGCCTATGCTGCCACACTTTGCAGTCATGGCAGAGCCGAGGCAGGGAAGCATAAACTGGAACACATTTTACTTTCAAAGTACATTAACAGTCGTGATAGCTTTTATTGGCAAATGTTACTTGAACCTCTAACTCTTGACATATAGGTGCATATCAAAAGCACATTTTTGCGGCTTACGCCCGTACAAAAGAACATTTTATGAGTCTTTTAGCACCTTGTCGATAATTACTACTAAAAATGAAGCAGATAATCGGGTTGATAGCACAGTAAGCGTGAGCCGTAAAGTAGGTTACATGAAAATATATCCAGAAACTACAGCAGAAATACGTTACACTGTCCTTATACACCATTATGATAAAAATGTTAGTAGTGAAAAGTAACCAGCAAAGCAAAAACACTGTTACGATAGCAATGGACATTTGAAGCACTTTTCTGCTTCTTTTGTTCCGCTGTTGCTGAGTGTTCGCGGACTGCTCACCTGGGTGTACCTGTGTCTTGAGCTTGATAAAGATGATGGAGTAAAGAATGGCTAACAACAAGACAGGGATGTATAAAAACAGAATGTAGTAAGCTAGTTGGAAACTGGCATAGGACGATGAATCTCCGAATACTTTCTTCCATTTCGTAACACACCAGTTTCAGTTTATTTCCCCCTTGCATGAATATTTATTTTGTAGTTCACTCACCCCCTCCCCCATAACGTTTCTAATGATCCATCTCACCCTGCGAGCAGAATCTCCTAATTTGTTGAGTGACGCCAAGTGATCAAGCGGCGAGCGAATGAACAGCTCTGCTGCTGAGAGGGTGCATGGTCAATCCCTGAGTTTTATTCAGTGGCGGATCCAAGGGAGGGGCCCGGGGGGCCCGGGCCTCCCATTATTTTTAGACCAAACTGAAACCCGAAGGGCCGAAAAAATTTTTTTGGAGACCCCCCCCTATCTAAGGGTCTGGATGACCTGGACCCCTCCCCTTATCTCAAGGTCTGGATCTGGCACTGTTATTTACTACCAAAACTGTTACAATACGTCGCCTATGCTGCCACACTTTGCAGTCATGGCAGAGCCGAGGCAGGGGGGACATAAACTGGAACACATTTTGCTTTCAAAGTACATTAACAGTCGTGATAGCTTTTATTGGCAAATGTTACTTGAACCTCTAACTCTTGACATATAGGTGCATATCAAAAGCACATTTTTGCGACTTACGCCCGTACAAAAGAACATTTTATGAGTCTTTTAGCACCTTGTCGATAATTACTACTAAAAATGAAGCAGATAATCGGGTTGATAGCACAGTAAGCGTGAGCCGTAAAGTAGGTTACATGAAAATATATCCAGAAACTACAGGAGAAATACGTTACACTGTCCTTATACACCATTATGATTAAAATATTAGTAGTGAAAAGTAACCAGCAAAGCAAAAACACTGTTACGATAGCAATGGACATTTGAAGCACTTTTCTGCTTCTTTTGTTCCGCTGTTGCTGAGTGTTCGCGGACTGCTCACCTGGGTGTACCTGTGTCTTGAGCTTGATAAAGATGATGGAGTAAAGAATGGCTAACAACAAGATTGCCTGCGTGCAGACGTCTCCTATTTCCTTTGTTGCACGCGGAAAAGGGACGTCTGCGTAACGCCGTCGCTAATCGTGTTCCAGCGTCCTGCTGGGTTCCTAAGATCTTGGGAACACGCTGTGATAGGCTGACACACAGTTCGCATTGTTTGACTTAACGCTGATTGGTTGTTATCGAATGTGGTCTGATAATGTATGCGGTGATTTCAATGATTTATGTAAGCGGGGTTTTCTAACCAAAACAAATCAAAACATGTGCGATTGTGTGCGGTGTGTTTCGTCGATCGAAAAGCAGAGCGATCGAAATCTTGTGCGGGGACGCGGAAAATTTAACCTGTACGAGGAAATTATTTCTTTACAATTTACTGTGCATGACACATCACATCATATTTGTAAACAGTGTCTGAGAAAACTACAAAAGCGGCGTGGACTTTGCACTAGGCAGGCATTTCGGAGAAAGCCAGCCAAAGAGACTAAAATCTTTATTTAGCCGTAATAAACAGAGGTCACGAAAATTTAAATACTTTACAACTGCATCTGAAATCAAATCCTATCGGGAACACCCACAGAAGCATAAACCACAGGAAATGACTACTCAGTATGCATGTAACAAACCTGCTTCATGACCTCTAAATGGAAGACTTAGCGCGGCAAAAATGAGATTTACTCAGTCAAAGGTTAGAATGCTACATGCACTGTGTAGTGCTAGTAATCTTCGCGCGAGAGAGAAAAGAAGAAAAACCTCTGTTCAAGCAGACTCTCAAGGTCACGTTTCGCCCGTATCACGAGCTTATGATGTTTTGTTTGGCCTGTCAACTCTTATTTCTAACCGGATATTATTTCACAATTTATGCGAAATAGAATACCCTGCCAGCGGGACGCTGGAACACGATTAGCGACGGCGTTACGCAGACGTCCCTTTTCCGCGTGCAACAAAGGAAATAGGAGACGTCTGCACGCAGGCAAACAACAAGACAGGGATGTATAAAAACAGAATGTAGTAAGCTAGTTGGAAACTGGCATAGGACGATGAATCTCCGAATACTTTCTTCCATTTCGTAACACACCAGTTTCGCTCTGGGGATTCAACGAGCTCGTTGGCGAAAAAGAATGGCGAATTGACAGCTACGGCAACTATCCACGTGGCGAGAATGAAGAAGGGACACAGCTTGGATGTGATGAGTGGGGAACGGAGTGGAAACACTACTGCTCCAAATCGATCCACTGCTATCAGAATCAGATTCTGAATCGAAACGACAAAGGAAACGTCTCCAAAGAAAGGGAGAAGCTTACACAAGGCCTGACCAAGCTGACCACCGATAAGGAACGAGTCTTTGGTGTGCAAGTAGAACATGCGCCAAGGTACACTGAAGATCGGAAATAACAAATCAGACGAGGCCATGTTTGCGATGAAATAATTTATCGGTTTACTTAAGTTCTGCGTTTTATAAACGATTATCACAATGAGAGAATCTCCGGCCAGTGAAACGATAAAGATCAGAGAGGGTGAGGGTTCCTCCGATTTTTAACGCATTGGAATTTAACTGAGCCTCGAAGCAGGACTCGATGGACCCGTTTACCGTTGAACTCATGCATAGCTTTGCGACGTACCTGTGGAATTGTTCATATGCAGTCAAGGAACTTTCATTACTGCTATGTATATTGAGGATATATATGCTGTTTGACAGTATTTTTATTGCTTTCTGCGAAAATGTAAAGAGAGCTTATGAATAGCGCAATATCCTGTCTATCAATTTCTACCGCCTAGCTAGCCGTCTAGAGATCCTTATCTGCGCTCTTTCAAATCTCAACTTCTATGTCAGAATCCTAGTTCAGGGTCAATGTGTTGTCAACTTTGAAAGGCTGAACAAGATGCAATGCTCAAGGTCTTGCCAATCAAGCAGACAACTGAATACTTTGAATGATTTGGCTATTTTTTGCTAAGTTCTAAAACTTTTTGAAATAATTTTCATGGGGGCGTTTACAAGACAAAGGATGTTTATTAGAGAGGGGCGTCTAATGCAAATATAATATTATAGAGCGGCGCTTATTAAATGAGCCAAGAGGCGTTTGTTTGAAAGGGGGCGTCAATTAGTCATTAGATCATTTATGGTAACTCATCAATGCCCAAGTAAGCCTTTTGTAATTTGCTAGGAGAGACTCCTTAGCATTGAACCTTCGAGGTATTTACTTTGTCTGAAAGAAATTCTTTCTTTATTTCGCCTTTAAGCCCTTTAAAAGCTTGGGTTGTCCAGTCAAAATAACACAAGGGGAGCAACGAGAGAGAACAAAGTATTAGCTCCTAAACAAAACTTTAACAATAACAGGCAGAAAAGTACTAAAATTACAGTTTAAAAATCATGTCAGTTAGTCGATCTACAGAAGGTGTTAATAAACAATTATTGGATGAGGTTGAGCATGATATCATGAATTATCAAAACCGAGGTCTGTGTTATCTGCCGAAGCCGAAGGCTGAGGCAGATAATACAGGGACGAGGTTTTGATAATTCATGATATCATGCGAAAACCGAAATCAATAATTGTTTTATTATACATTTTTTAAACAATAGGCAAAAGCGAAACTTTCAGCCATTCTGTTTCTGAGGAGAACACTCTAAGGGGCTTGGTAACCAGGCAGACGTTGAACTTGACATGATAAATGCAATATCTGCAGCACATATTGCATTTATCATGTCAAGTTCACAAGCTATTGTGAATTGATTGAATGCTCTCGACCAATCAGATTTTTCAGAGTGAGTCTGATGTATAATAATCGAAAATAATTGGCTGGACGTTTGAATAAATTAACTACGACTGTGACTGGAATTGAAAATTCAGAGGACAAATTAAAAAAAACAATACGTGCTGGACAACAGAAGTTACAACAGTAGATGTCAATCTTAACATATACACTTAAGAATATAAACTAGAAGATATTCAATACCATCATTATTATTATTTTTTTATCTTTCTTTCATTTAAAAATCATCAACTGCTTAAATTGAATCGACGACAAGGAAAAACTAACACACAAGATGAAAACGCCATAAATAAGGAGGACAGATAGGTAATTTCCTTAAAACTCAGATCACGACGAAAGGTACTTTTAGATCGATTCCCAAGAAAGCGTACCGTTACCCTGGGTACCAGTGGTTTTTCTAGCGTGCTACGGGAATTTTTGGTGTTGGCCGAAGGCTGACACATCTTCGGCGATAGGCCGAAGATTCAGGGTGGTGTACTGTATTCGCATAAGAAATACATGTTTCATTACAACGAATTCATGAACCGGTCAACCAAGGGACAACTCAAGGTAGCGTTAGCGGTCCTTACCTTTTTAATATCTTCCTCAATGATCTTAACATCACTTTAGGTAATCATGACGCGCTATTTAAGTACGCTGATGACTCGACAATTATTGCTCCTGTATGGAAGGAGGTAGACTACTCCGATCAGTTAGTGTCACAGTTTTTAGATTGGACGAATACAAATGGAATGTCTTGCAACCCAAGCAAATGTAAAGAGTTGACGATCAAAAAGAGAGGCAACCACGATCTCTATTCACCCATTGGGATGATACCAAGCTGTAAAGAAGTTGAGATTTTGGGCGTCACCTTCCAATGTGACAGCAAATTTTCAGTGCACGTGAAGAACAAACTTATTAAAGCTAACAAATCCCTACATATCCTTAGAACGCTGCGCAAAGAAGGGTACAATCAGTCAGAAATAGACCTTCTCTTTAATACTATAGTTCTACCTAATATTAATTACGCATTATCTGTCTACGCCGCGTCCGAGTCCGATCTTACACCCGTACAATGTTTCTTAGACCGCTGTTTTAAAAGGAAATATACGTCTAAGCCTGTAAGTGTTTATGATTTCTTAGAGAGGCAAGACCGTAAAATTTTCAAAAAAGTTTTTAATGCCAAAGGACATCCACTTTTATCTATTATGCCTCGTGTTAAACCCTCCAGCTACAATCTTAGAAAAGAAACTAGTTTTAAACCTAAGATTAACACTATGCGCTTTAAAAACTCTTTTATTAATCGTTTAGTTTTTAAATATGAATTAGCTATGTAATGTACTAGATATATATACCGGTATATATTTTTTATTTCTTACTTTTTAACTTTTTAAATTTCTTACACTTATTTGTAACAAAAGATATGTATTTTTATCTCTTGATGAATAAAGACTTTATTATTATTATTATTATTAGAAGATTTCTTTTAATCATTTTTTTAGAAGTAGAAGCTGCTGTGTAAATTAAAACAGCCAATAAATGAATCTTTGTGATATCTAACATTGCATCCTGATTTAATATCCCTTAGTTAATTTATCATGCAGCGACCACTCAAAGCTTACTAAAGGTAACGTGAGGTTAAGGCGCCCACGAGCCAAAGGTCTAAACGGCCGCAGCTTATCCCGGTTTCCTCAGCATGATGCATGTTTAGAAGTATTGCTTCTCCCCTCTGGACTGGATGCTAGTCCATCTCAGGGTTACCCCCCAGCTGTATGTCGCCGGTAGCCATTTATTTACCCATTTGGGTGAAGAGAGACAAAGTGGATAGTGAAATTCCTTTTCTAAGGAAACAACGCGACGGGCGAGGCTTGAACCCCGGAGTTCGAGGTGTTAAGAGTGGTTGTCAGAGAAAACCGGGCAAAATGTTAAAAATGTCAACGGAAGGGGGTCAACAGAATAAGTTCATACTAACATCATAGATAGGTCTGGTGGAGTAATGGACAAATATAATAAACATAGGTTCTTCACTGCTCTTGTATTAGAGATACGAGCATCACTTTATTCGACCCCCTCGGACGCCATTTTTATAAGCAAATTTTCACTATTTTCTGAAACTCACAGAACCCTCAAAATTGAACGAGCGAAGTTTATTTTTCGCATGCGACACAACACATCACAGAACTACTTTCTAAAACCATAAGATTTGTTAAGTAGCCACGGACAAGACTAAAATTTTCTTATTTTATCTGACCTAAACTCAGTGTCTGCAAACGAGCAAAAAATCGGGCATTT